CTATATTTCCTCTAAACCCAGTGATTTGCGAAACACAGAACGCCCTTGCCCCATTTTTTCCAGTGGAATTCCTCTGTGATGCCTGACAAAATCTGTCACGAGTAATCCTAGTTAAGGGTCCTGTCATGTAGTCGTAAACAGCGTCTGCGCGGCTGCGTTAGATTTAGCCTGATTACGCTAACCAGGTATCCGAAGGGACGAGGAGGATTGACAAGGGAGTTTCAGAAGCCTTTGCTAGATAGCTTAACCAATTTGAGTTGTCATGTTTGAGTTTTAAAGCGACTGCATGACAGACATATTCTGGGTGGTCTAGTTAACGTACAATATTTAAAATTGTCAGTTGCCATAATCTTGAGGCCGCCAGAATCCTGATGTCAGTGCTCTTTAGCAAGAAATGATCTTGCGCTCTTTAGGAGTTGCAGCAACATCCCTTTGTGTCTTTGAGAATGATTGGATAACATATAACGTGGTGATGGAAGAAGCAATACTGATTGATTTTGGGGCCTTGCATTGCTGCACAGTTAAGCAAAAACCAACGACCAACCACATCATTGCATTTGTCATTAGTTTCGCAAAATCATTTCAAACATAACGTTAAACATTCTCTATATCTTCCAAAAGGTTTATCGTTTTATTTTGCATATTTGTAGGAGACATACTATACATTTGCAAGTGGATGCAGTCTCTGGTGAATGCCTGTTCACGTTTCGATTGATGGCGTCCGCTAGTCGCTCAGAAAAATTGCATGATTCACAATCCTGGCCATGACCCTAGTGTCAGTTGGCGTAGTCGTTCACCTTGATGTTTAGAATTGAATCAATCACTTACGAGCAATTTTGCATGTGAGCTAGTAGAAGGAGCTTCATTTAATGAATCTTTGTTGCTCAATGCGAAACATCAGTAGTGATGCCCTTCACTCAATGACCCTTAATGCTACACCACATCGACTACTGCATTCCTTCGTCACAGATGAACAAGTGACCCCAGGCGTGGCTGCATAGTTTAAGTCGCATAAATCTCACAGCGAATGTCATGGAAACCAGAGATCAATCGTTAACTCCATGCTCCAGTCAATATCCAGGTGTGCGTTGAAATGTGTTAAAATATATTCACTTGTCTGCATTGCCGCAGTTTTTTAGACATTAGATATTGCGACAATCATGATCAGTGAATCTCTAAAGTTAAAGGTATGTTAAGTGAAAAGCCAAATTATTGCCGCTTGTGAAATTGGGATAGCATGTTGTTCATCCCTGAAACATATTTCACGGCGTGAGAGATATATCAAATAAAACTGCAATCAGTAAATCATTTCTAAGACAAAGAATCGACTGTTGCAAGCAGGCACTGCATCATCATGGTGCAAGCACATAAGCGGTCAATTCAGAGAATCAGGTTCTCCCTCTGAGCCCGATTCTCGAAATGTTTGAGCGATTGACAGTTCAATGCCTTCTGTTCAGCATCTTGAAATGCTGTTTTAGGCGCTTTTGAAGGCCATCTGATTTTTTTATTTTCTCCTGTTTATTAATTTTTAATTAGTCCTTGCTGTCTTTTCGTGCTTTTACTGGCTCAGGGAATACATAACAATTTCTTCTCGTCTGTGTAAAATCCAGCCAAGATGCATCACTGGTTGAGTTCATCCTCAAGTGCCACTTGGCAGATGCAAATGGAAAGGGTGTGTTCTTTGTGTGACAATTCAAGCCCTCTTGCCTGACCATATGTTTGCTACTTAAACAATGTGATGTGAATAGCCAACATTTCAAGTTGTGAGTCACTTTGTATAGAGAACCACTGCACGTAATGTTAGATATCACATCCAACTCTGGTAGTTACACCCACCAAATATCAAGTACCACCGCATCAAAGCTAGATCGATTACGCTACTCTGGTATCCGCACAGAAGCTAAAGAACATAGGCGACGAAGCACAATCATTTAGAAGGAAGCTCAACCAATTTGTATATATCAGCTACGTGTGTATTAAATTCAGTCACTGACTGGTACAGTCTGGGTGGAATACTGCAAATGCTAGAAGATACCTTGTGCATGACTTGTGATTTGCACACCCACGCGGAACATTTTTTTTCTTTCTTTGAGTTGGCTTTGAATGTGCCACTTGGCGTGGCTGCTTTGTTGTAGTCACACGCCCACACAAAAAACACCCCGTATGGCAATTACCAGTGCGGCACAAAACCAAAATTTTGTCTGATGCTTTATAGAACACTTGGATATTTTGGTGAAAACAGCATCAATTGGCAAAGATTTAAAAGTGACCTAAGGCGTGGCTGCATAGTTTAAGTCACATAAATCGCACAGCGAATGTCATGGAAACCAGAGATCAATCTTTACTTCCAGATGTAAGTTTAAATGCGTTGAATGGTGTTCACTTGTCTACAAAGCTGCAGTTTCTTAGACATTAGATATTGCGACAATTGTGATCAGCAAATCTTATAATGTAGAAGGATGTAGAGTTACCAGCCGAAATGTTGCCGCCAGCGAAATTGGGCTAGATGGTGGGGCAAAGTTTCAATTTGCACACATGGCGGTCAGTTAAGCATAACACCCATTGCAACGGTGTTTGTTGATCGATTTAGATGTGGACGTGAAGCATATTTCATGGGCTGAGAGAATCATTGTGAACTGCAATTGGTAAATTATTTCTAGGATAACGAGCCGACTGTTGCAAGTAGGCACTAGATCATCATGCTACAAGCACATAAGCGGTCAATTCAGAGAATTAGGTTCTCCCTCTGTGAGCGACTCCCGAAATGTTTGAGCAATTGACAGTTCAATGCCTTCTGTTCGGCATCTCGTAATGCTGTCTCAGACGCCTATTATGGAATCTTTTTTTATTTTCGATGGTTTTTTATTAGTCCATGGTGTCCTTCCGTGCCTTCAATAGCTCAGGGTATAAATAACAATATCTTCTTGCCTGTTAACAAACAAACCGAGAAGCAAGACAAAGAAAGGCAGTATGCGTTCACTGGTTGAGTTCAGTCCAAGCTGCCACTTGGCAGAACAAATGAGAAAGAGGGTGTGATCTCGTTCCCTTGTGTGACAATTCAAGCCCTCTTGCCTGACCATGCGTTTGCGGCTTAAACAACTGCCTGCATTGCAAAAGGTAACCCTACTTGTAAGGCATCAGTGGATATGCTGAAAAATACTTGAACTTGCCAAAAGGGCTAGAGAGAAACAGTTTTACCACGATTTATACCTGATGTGAATGACTGAGTGTATCTTTATCTGTGAAATCGATTAGATTATGCCAAGTGGCAGACTTCACTAAAAATAGCCAACATTTAAAGTTTTGAGTCAGTTTGTATAATGAACCACTGAACGTAGTGTTGGATAGCACATCAAACTGTGGTAGTTACATCCACCAAATATCAAGTACCACAGCTTTGAAGCTAGATCGATTACGCTAATCTAATCCGCGCACAGACGCTAAAGAACAGAGACGACGAAGCACTATTATTGAGAAGAAAGCGCAACCAAGTTGTATATATCAGCTACGTGTGTATTAAATTTAGTCACTGACTGGTACAGTCTGGGTGGAACACCGCATATGCTAGAAGATACCTTGTGCATGACTGGTGATATACACACCCACACAGAACTATTTTCATTTCTATGAGTTGGCTTTGAATGTGCCACTTGACGTGGCTGCTTTGTCATAGTCACACACACCCCATATGGCAATTGCCAGTGCGGCACAAAATCGAAATTTTGTTTGAGGCTTAAAAGAACACTTGGATATTTTGGGGATAAGAAGAAACTGTGATAAGAAGAATGCTCGTGAACATCAGAGGATGCAACTGCAATGAGAAAACAGACAGAAATGGATGGTTTAGTGGCCCCAGGATGTAGTCTCAAACCACGGTGGGACCACAGCGTTGAATCCAGCCCGATTAAGCTACTCTGATACCCGCACAGACGGCGAAGTCCACAGACAGCGAAACACCATTTATTACCAGATATCTGAACCCAGTCGTGCATGTCTAATGCGTGCGTATTACAGTTAGTGGCTGACTGGTGCAGTCTAGGTCAACTTGCAAAAGTGCAAACGTGGGAATGGTTAGTTGGTAGTGGTACAGCCACGATAAGAAAATGGGACAGGTAATTCTCCCGTCAAGCAATGCCCGTAAACCTCTTCTCTTTCTAAGTTTTTAAATTACCCCAATGATGGCAACGACGGCTGCAAAGCTCTACCAACGGATTCAATGATATCGTCAATGCAAAAATCAATGACCTTCTCCCCTTTATTGAGTACATAAGCAGGTTGCCGATACCATTTCGTAAAGCGTCCTCATTACCACATGGTGAATTAATATCTCTCATTTTTCACCGTGTCCACATAACCATCATTGTTCTATAAGTGGGCGATCCAAAATCAACATCGGTGGCGGGATTAGGTTAATTCGCCTAGTGGACTAAAGTGGTCATCTCAGGGCCTTTGTTTGCCTGCGCGTTTCTACTGACTTTTCCAGCTTCTTAGCAATAAACGTGACATTTACTTACGCGTGTCTTTGAGCAGAGCTATTTGTATTGACTGTATTAATCCGAGCATGTAGAGCAGAATATCCCTTAACGTCTCTGCATTAATTCTTCAAAGCATTCTTATGATAGCTCACTTTCTGTAATGCATCTTCAAGTTGATTGCGTTTCTCTAACCACTAGAAGACTAACCTGCAATTTGAGCACACCTCAATGATATTCCCCATTCAGTAATTTGCCCGTCAAAGTGTCTATAAAGCTACACTGCCATCACTGTATACTGATTGGTGGGAAAAGCTCCTGCACTATGAAATAGTGCGCCCCGGCATTTTTACAACGTACTACAGTTTGTGATTTCAATATCAAGTGTCTGAAATGGAGTCCACAGCTTAGCACAATTTCCCTAAACAGTCCAAACGCCTACACAAATATTGCTGATTAACAAGCACATTCAAGACCAATATCAAAATACGTCAGCTTCCACATATACAAGCACAGAAAAACAACTAACTAGATGTGATGTCGTGAACACAAACGATTAGCGTAAACTTTTGGATCAAACGTCCTCCTGTCATAGGAGCCTGATTTCATTTCAGCTTCGACTCGTCGGAAGTACCATCGCTCCATCTCATCGTAAGCCCCTGGCTGGTAGTCAGCGTGGAACTTGTTGGCAGAAATGTGTGGCGCTCCCTGCAACAACGACACCTGATCCATTCCGAGAATGCAGACATCTCGAACGTACTTGGTAGAACAGGTCATATTGTAGTAATCCCAAATGACCAACTTTCCCAGGTAGTTGTAGTCCACCTCTGACCTGGGTGCTGGGCTATGCAGACAAGCTCCAGGCAGGTGAAGATGGCTGTTGTAAGCGAGAGTTGGGAAAAAGAACTCGTCGGGATGCCTAATATAATTAGGCTTAAGCATTAGGTCACGAATGGGACCGACAGCTGTTCCCATGACTGCTTCGTGGAGAAATTCCCTTCGAAATGCACCGTAGATTGAGCCTTTGTACCATGTTGCCTGCAACATGAAAAGTTCGATATGCTGTGTGGCTGACAATGCAAATATCACATACCTCAGATTTAATGCGACTGCAATCCTGCACAAATACGGGACGTTTAAAATGATGCCAAGTGCCTTGAATTGTTAGTTAAGAACAGAAACTTAAATTTACTTTACTCAATGCTTCTTTGTAGAATGTCAAGCAGTGTAATTTCACAGAGAGAAACCAAGACGCCAAAAGCATTAACTAGCTACTCACCTTCAATGGCAGTGGCCTGTTATTTGTCCGAAACGCAAATTTGCCTAGTTCAACAGATTCGACGAGGTTGGAACCATTGAGTGCCTTCAGTGCAGCAACCAACTCCATGTTCGTTCGCAGTGGGAAATCCTGTCCAACCAAATTCACCAGGTACTTCCACGTAGCGTGACTCCTTAACGCCTGTTTGGCACAGGTAATTTGTGGAACCAGGACCGATTCGTATCCCCAATGTACTTCCACGCGCTCTTCATATGGAACTAATCCCACATTGGCACCAAAACACGTCGCCACACCACGCAGGGCCTCTATGAATAAGCAGTCTGAACGTCTGTCAGCATGAATGCAGTAGTAGTTATTTTGTCTGTAAATCATTCGAAGGAGTCGAGCAATTTGACCAGCGTCCTTGTGCACCACCAACGTGAACGCTATATCCATGTCAACGTGGGGATCGACTGGGATGGCAAAACCCTGTCGGAACTGGAGACAGTGTGGGTGAGCAGGAGAGTTGATTTTGGCGAAGAACTTTGCTGATTTCAACGAAGAGCCTGTAAGTGATTTGGCAATTTCAAGCTTGTTATGATGATTGAAGGTAATCAGCATTGCTCCAATTGTTATTATGAAGATGAAAATGCAACTGCCGTCCTGTCGACGCAAACATCGGATAGGTTGCGAATCCGCTGATAATTAAATAAAACCCGATTCGCCATTATATAATCCGAAAAAAAATAAGGTCATCCTAGTTAACAACGGAAATGCATAGTTGTGTGTGTGTTAAATCTTTGATGTTATGATGTGTGAGAATGTGTAAAGCAAAGGTAAACGTCGATGACTTCAGCGAAGGCAAAGGCGATGAGAAAAGCAGCGTTAGTTACATAAAATCAATGACAAAGCAGCAATTGAATGTTTGCTAAAACAGATATCAGTGAGCCCGTCTGCTGATACTGTTGGCTTGATACAATTTAATAAATTGCCTAAGAATGGAGATCGGTAATACAAACGAGCCCAATACATTGCGTCTGCTCCCCCCACATCCTCTCTTAGGCACCACATCCCAAATTCTCCTCAAATGCGCTGTGTCGCAGTCAAACGAATCACGGTGTAATGTGAAAGCAAGTATCACGTTCATGTTGAGCTGTTGTTTGGTCGTAATCCTTTGAAAAATCCAGAACAGCACTGAAGTTGATATTTCAGCAATAACCCCATGTTGACTATTTGACTCGCCAATATATCAAGCCAATTCCATGCCCGAAAATCGCAATGATCAATGGGACACATACGCCACCCCACTACCTACATTTGCAACACGTGTGCTCTCTATACAAGTTGTCATTTCAAATCTCCTTTACTCTGCAGCTCATCACGTAGGCAAAACGCGCGCTCTGGACACACATTTGCACGACCCGTGTCTCCACAAGGCGTTTAGCCGTTGACCAGAATAGAAATTTTACATGTATTTTGCCTTGGATTGCTTATTCACGCAGATTTAATGGCACAAGGTCTAAATGTGAGTCCTGTGGGGAGGGCATCCTGCTGGAATTGGTGTGCGAATCAAGGATGAGAAACAACCCGAATGCCTATGCTGTCACAAAGCAAAGCAGAATGTGTTTGTAAATTTTCCCTGCAGAAATATTAACGGGTGTATGACAAGCAAAGCAAAACACCAAGCATAAACAAATACATGAGAGGAACAAATTGAAAAGCTGTTTCTCTAATTCTGACAAAAAAGTAATACACACTGAGGCAACTCACCTACGTGGAATTTCAAGTGATATTGTGAACGCTGAGTCATTGCAAATTGAAAGAAACTGAATCAAAAGTGCAAATCTCAGTAGCAGAGCAGTTGATATATACATCGACGCCTTATTTGCATTGGTTGTTATACGTCACACGGCGTGTGGCTCCTATATTAGCTGTTATGGAAAATTAGCCAATTATGAGTGCAGGTGGATGAATCTACACTTAGTCGGAAAAATCGGCTTTTTCAGAGAAAAATAACCACACGCCGAAGCTCATACACCTTTCGTGCGGCATGTTTAATGTACTCAGACTATACTGTCTGCTCCAATTTCATAAACTGATCCTAAGCAGCTCCAATGCGTGTCCCTCACTCAGGCTCATGTGCTTTCACCAAACTGCATTTTCAACCAATTTTAATTTAATATTACTGCATTTAAATTGC